CGGATTCATTACACACACACACACACACACACACACGACTGATATACAACCATATCCATGATGAAATGTATCAGCTACTTCAACAGCTCTGGGGGAGGCAGAAGCAGAGCAAAATGTTACAGCCTGCTGAAATTGGGCAAAAGTTTAAGCAGCAGGTAGCTCATTTGTCCCAGCTGGATGATGAGCAAGAAGCTCAATTTTATGTTTCAGATGGATGCAAGTTATGTCAACATACCAGGCCAATATATAGGGTTGTAGTTCAGCTCTTTGGTGTTATCCATCTACCCTAATTCCTATCACATACGGGCATCTCTTTCAAAACAAAAATTCATGTCCTGTAATTTTTGTGCAAATAAAGATGCGACCCATCTCTACTGTAGAAATTCATTGTTCGGAAAAGCCGTTTTGGACTGACAGAGGTTGGAGACCTCTCTGCTGAAGACATGAAGAAGATCCGCTACCTCTCTCTGATTGAACTTACGGCCTTCTATGACGCATTGGGGGTGGAGCTGAAGAGGAACCGCACAGAGAGGGTGCGGGGACGAGGTACTGTGCTGTGGCATCCCCATGGCAGCCACCTGGGCGCCGCTCAGCATTGCAAAGAAGATGCATACAAGGTTGTTTTTCCTCTTTTTCATATTTTGTTGTTATTATTTTTAAGAAAATGGTCTGTTTGGAGTCCCTCTCACCATACTGCTGGAGAATGATCAAAAGAAGGTTCCTGGAGTAAAAGTTCCCCTCATCTTCCAAAAAGTGAGTATAACTCAGCCTGCTCGGCCACTAAGATTCACATTTCCATCATTTGCATCGACGCTTAAAGCAGACATCAGATAAAAGAAGATGTAGGCTTTACAGACTTGAAGATGTCTACAGGTTGTCTGTATGTTGTAGTTTGAAAACCTTGTGTCAAGGAGACAAAATTTGTTCCTTTTGTGTGTTTTATCTGTGGTGGGGACCTCTTTCCATTTTCATAATTGTATGGTACTGTACAGGAAACTTCAGGAAACAAATGTCTGGCTTTCTGTTTCCCTTTCTCATTAAATTAGAGCACCATGCAAAACTGCGTGTGTGTGCAGAAGTGGCAGAGATGAGTTGTCTCAGGAGTTTTAATTCCACATGAATTCAAACCGTAGGTATTACTTAGCTATTATTTCCAGAATGGAAGTGGTACTTCTCATTAAGATTTGTATGACAAGACAACGTCATTTATATAAGTCATTTGACAGTACAATGACATTCAGCGGATGTCTTGGAGACAGGTACAAGCACACATGCAGTTACACAGGTTTACATGGACTTGAAACTGCAACACATTTCCCTGTAAATACTGATAAAAGGGGAAGTGGTGTGGAGTGTCAGGGGAAAGACTGACATGGCTTGAATATTTACATGACTTTGCAATCAGCTCCACAGCTCCCCTGTCAAGATACCATGGGAAATTAGAAGGATCCAACAGCTAGGGCAGGAAGCAGAGCTGGTGGTGAAAATCCAGAGCTGTATGAATAAATGCTAGGAAATGATTTTTTTTCCCCTCGTTCTAAATTATGTTAAATCAAAACATATTTTTTTTTTTATAAAGAGTTAGCGTAGAAAGCCTATTCCTCTATTCACAGAAATTTCAAAATGAAATATCCTGGGATTATTTTCTAATCTGAGTTCTCAGTTCCCAGAAACGTATGCTATCTATAGACCTTTCCATTGTGCTCCTCGGGGAAAGACTTAAACATTTCTCAGAGGTTAATTTTCCCTCAAAACACCATTGTGTTTTACCCAGTGTCTCTGCCCTTTTATTAATACGTTTATGTGTTAATTGCTCTATAGCAGTGCCAAGTTGCAAATCAAGGACAGAGGGGCCTATTGCATTATCAGTTTTCCATACTCTGCATACTCCGTATTTCAGGGTCAGGAATATGGAGAACAAATTAGGAAGGTTTATTTACATGAGCTGGCTTGTTTTCATTAGCAAATTACATAGAAATGTATCTTTTCCAAATTAGTTTCAAGGATACCTAGATTGAAAAAAGTTAATAGTATTTTTAAGTGCTTCTGAGTATTTTCCTGGGTTTTGTTGGGTTTTTTCCAGTTGCTGCTCAAGCTTGAGGAAACAGGTTTAGAAACCGAAGGAATTCTACGAGTGCCTGGATCTGCCTCCAGAGTCAAGGTACATGCTCGTGCCAGTTTTGTGTCTCCTGGACCACAGACTCTCTGTGAAATAATATAGCACACACAAATTCACACTGCACATAAATACTGATGTGTATAGCTCAGCATTTCTATTCCTACCAATGAAAGGTCAGACTGGTTCCTGGGAACCAATAAATCACAGAACATGTGGTCTTTTGCTTTGCATTTGTTAATGTTCTATATAAAGCACAGACTTGACATTGAATGCAGGTTTTCTCCCCTAAACATGGAGGGAACCTTTCAGTTTATCTCTGTTGTCCAAAATTGCTGTGATCGTGTCTCCGTTTTAATTTATTTCAGAAATCCAGAGTTGCTAAACTGAGCGAACTTCAGATAAAGATCTTATTCTGTGTCATTTTAACCTTTGTGTCATTTTATTTCTCATTTATCTTCTGTGATCTTACAATTTCATGTTCCAAGTGAGAGAAATTTGGCCTGCGTTCACTGTTTGGCAGCCTCGAGTACTGCATTTTCACAAGCTATTTGCGGGTTATGAACACAGGATGGTTGGTACCCAATAACCTGATATTGTGGTGCAGTAATGCTTGCAATTTTTTCTCCAGACTAACTTGATTCCAGGAGCTGAAAGCCTTTGGCAGCGGAAAATTAGGAAAACAAGCTTTTTCTGGGCTTAGTAGTGTCTACCTCTTTCCCAGATTTTTGTTTATTCTAGGGTTTTTTTGTCTGGTTTAAGCAACTTCTTACAGCGCATCCCACTCCCACTTTCTCATCCTCAGGAAAGCTAATCTTGCCTTCTGAGGCAGGAAGTCTCAACATCGTGGCAGCCACACAAATGTTGGGGATTGCTGAACGTTGATGGGCTGGGGATCATCAAAAATGACTGTACAAGAAAAAGTGGCATCACGTGAAACACATCGAAGATCGGCAGTAGCATCCCAGCTCCCTTTGACTCTGTGGGTTGACAAAAGCTCTCAGCACCTTGCAAAGTGCCACACCTTGCAGAAGGGAGCTCCTAATTTGGCCTGTACTTTTCAGCTTCCTCATTTTTTCATACAAATACTTAAAGTATTATTTCACACAATCTCAATTTTTTCCAACCTCTCTGGGGAGATTACACAGCAGGGCTGCGCTTTACCTAATTAAATTACTTTCATATTCTTTGCATATACTGTACTGTGTCTTATTCACTTCTTATTCACAACCTGTATCCAGGGAGCTGCTGTGAGATATGACTTTATATGTAACTCCTCTATACTGGGTGGTAAGTCGAACTGCCCATATGAAAGTTTTAAATTATTTGAGTTTTGGCTTCATTTAAGTCTGTCCAACAAGCCAACCAGCAAGAGAGAGAATTTTTCAAAGCAGATCCAGATTTCATCCTTCAAAGCCTTCATACATTATTATGACATTAGGATTTGAGGGCATTCCAATTTTATTTCAGTCTTGTTTGGAGAAAGAAAAGGCATGTGGAAGTGATTAAAGGTTACTTCTATATAAAACAAAGAATAGAAGAAATAAATACAAGTTTTCCTCTGTCTGTAATCTGGTTTGTAACAAAAGCTCCAGTGGACCAAAAATGCATGATAGTCTACTGCAGGATCAGTCACGTTTAAAAAAAAATTGCAAAAACGTTTTTTAAATGTACTTAGGTGCATATATATATGTATATGGGGAGGGTGAGTGTATAAAATATACATATATGCTTGCTTGTGTGGATATATATAAAAAAATGTTTATGTTTCAAAAATCTTGCTTTCTATTTCTATGGCTTTTTCCCAGTTCTCAGCAGAAAAATGTGGAGTAGTTTTTCTCTCCCCTTGTGATTTTGATGAGGTGAGGATTTCTGTTCCACATTACCCAGCCAGTTACCAGGAGAGAATTTAATCCAGGTGTTTGTATGGATTATGTGCAATGAATGTGAATACAGAGGAAGCTGAGATAGCCCAGATTACAACTAGTAAAAATGAGATTGTAACATTATATACCAAATCCTGAATGACTTTCTATTTCCTTTTGTGCCGACCATTCCACTTCATTATGTGTGACCATATTTGACATGTAATTTCCTTCCATTCATGTGAGACACGGTAAACAGAATTCATTTTTAAAAGCTTTTCTGACTGAATGGACTAAACTTTTTTGCGTAATAATAAAGTACATTTGACAAAAACATGATCTGAAACCTGAATATTAGCTACAGACATATTTTGTCATAAATGATCTCACAAAAAGCAGCGACAAAATTCCTATGGATAAGGCAGTGTTTGGCCAGTAATAATTGTGAAACCTACATTATTTATGGCTATCCTTATATTACAATAGCCTCCTTCAATCTTATTAACCCAACAAATTTTTGAGGAGCTTGCATTTTCCAAACAGTGATCTGGGTTTGAAGCCAAATTCTGTTCCTACTAGGAACCTTTTTCCCATTCACACACGTGTGAAACACTGATTAGTTACCCTCCAGAACTAAATAGACCTCTGTTATAGAGCGAGATGCTGACATTGGAGAACAAGAGGATTAAATGGCTACCCAAAAGGGTATAATCAATTCTGTCTTAGATCTCTCGTGGTTTTTGAGGGGGTTTTTTGGCATGTATCAAGTGGAGGTTTTCTGACAGTAATGGTTTGATACCTTTATTTTTCTACGAAGTGATCAAATCAAATTATAGCTATCCTAAAAGAAAACATCCTTCTAAAGACAGGAAGACCTGAAGTTAAAGCCATTTGCTCAAGGCCCATGGACTCAGATGCCAACAGTTTGTCCAGCAAGTTCACTGGCAGCGAGGAAAAAATGCCACTCCTTTGTGATTTAAGGGTCAAAACCTCTGGAGAGTGTTTTAAACAAAAAGAACAGCTGTGCCAAAAATTCTGTTTAACTGAATTTTCTGTTTCTAGTTCTAAGACATTCCACAAAATTGTCTTGCTTTAAAATGGTTCAAATGGGTCACTGGCAGAAATCTAGCTATGGCAAACCAAATTTAGCCTGGGTTGCAAAATATCCCCAGGAATCTGATCTGTTCACCTGCTCTGAACTCCACGCGGCTGTACCTAGACTGCTACTGGTTTAGGGCTACTTTAATTTAACTACGGTGTAAATCTGCCTGTTGTTTGTAATGAGATTTCTGAAGTGATCTCAAACTGCCTGGTCAGAAGCAACGATTAAAGGTCTGATGTTCCTTTTATCTTTCAGAATCTCCATCAAGAACTTGAGGCAAAATTTTATGAAGACACTTTTGACTGGGACCAAGTACGAAATAATGATGCAGCAGGACTGCTGAAAATGTTTATAAGAGAACTCCCAAGCCCACTCTTCACAGTAGAATATCTGCCCGCTTTCATCACACTAGTGGAAAGTAGGTGGAAAAGGAGTTAGTATGGACTGATCTAGATGAAATGTAATAGTAGACGTTACATTTTTTTCTCTCTCTGAAGCGGAGAGAAAAAAGCATGTAATTTTTTCTCTCTCTGAAGTGAGAGAAAAAAAGGCCCAGTGCTTTGCCTAAACATTTAAATTTTCTGCAAGCTTTCATTTTCAAATGGACAAAAGTCTCTGCACTTAGCTAATAGCATAGACTCGTTGTGTGAGTGACACAACTGTTTAATGTGAGATTTGAAATCTGTGAGCAAATGCTGGCTGAGCAATGAATTTCATATGTAGACTCTGATTCACACAAATTATAGATTTCACAAATTAAAATTTCTGCAAGGTAAATTCAGGTCACTGCCCTTTACCTGATATTCTATTGGATCCATTTTATTTCTCTCCAGGTTTATGCTGAAGTCAGAATATTCGTACAAAGATATATGTGATCACAGAAAGCTTCAGGCACTCGGGTTTTGTTTTCAGTGTACATACACCTTCTCATTCTCAGTACATTTTGTTCATTTCTCTTCCAGGAAGAACGCAGTAGTACCTTGCAATACCTATTGACTTCATTGTAAATTCACTTGAGCTAGGACAGAGTGAAACTATCAGGATGGTGAATTTATTAGGCAAATTGGTACAGAAAACATATAAGGTTGCAGCCAAGTTTTCAGTGTCTCCATGAGGTAGTTTAAAGGGCACAAGGAGGTGACCCCTTCCTGTAACCTTCACGTACCTGAGTGTGCTCTGTGAGAGTCCCAGACTTCATGCAGTTATGATCGCTTAGCAGTTGGGAGGAGAAGACTGAACATGAGGTGTCTGTGCAGAATAAAGTGTCTTTATTCTCTCCAACAGATTCCACAACACTCACTCTTTTTTTCTCCAAACCTCTTTCATCCACCCTGAGTGGAAGCAAATGACAGAGTTATTCTTCCCATCTTCTCCACCCCTGCTCTTCTAGTGAGCATTGCACAGTATCAGTATATACCAGCTGCTGAAAACATGACGGTATTTTGTAATTGACGAGTGGTTCTGCATTTATCTAGGGTGCTAGACTTGGGACAAATACTTTTTAAGTTATAAGCAATCAATCTCCACTCCAATGGCACAAGTGTTCAGCAAATTACTCAATAACAACACTGAAAATTTTCTGAAAACAAATATCCATTTCAGTTTGAAAGGGGGAAAATACTTGATCCATATATAACACATTCTGACCATGATATCTAAGAGAAACTGGCTAGTACTGAAAAATATTGGCTTTTTGTTACTTAGACGGAATTTTATAGAGCCTTGTCTCCCCCTGTGACAAAGACCCAAGATGATGAGGAAAAATCCACTCACTAGAACTGGTTTTATATTTGGGGAAAAGATTATGGTTAATAAATATCTAAACATACTAGTCTCAACCAGGCAGTGGTTGCTGTGTTTCTAGAACTGCTGACCAACAAGGATTTTAGAACAAACCAATTGTAATTGGGATTTCAAAACAATTAATTATTCATATTCTTAGAAATCTCCAAGATCAAGTTACAGCTACAAGCTTTGCATCTGTTGATCATGCTGCTGCCTGAAGCCAACAGAGACACAGCCAAGGTAAGTTCTTCGTTTGCTATCACCTGCCATCTGTGGTGCCTTTGATTTTTAAATGAGAGACTTTTTTTTTCTAACAGTCAGTTGATCAGACGCTGCAGTGTGAATGTATTCATCTGTGTTTTTTATCATTTCCTTGAAAAGATGTTCCAATTCCCTGGCTGTCATTTCTCTTGCAAGCAATTAAGAAATAGTTGCTGGAGGTATCCAACTGCTGGTGTCAGTAAATGGCTCCCAGGCATCATTTATTCTGGAGCACCCATTTCAGAGAGTCATGTTCCTCGCATAGTTTGGAAAAAGAAGGTCCAGTTTCTGGGTTTTCTGTATAACTGGAATTCTTCGGGATGAATTTAAATGAGAAGCTGCCCCCCAGGAGCTTGCCTAGTGCACTCCCGGGGCTGAAGGGCTTCCAGGGCACTGGACGAGACTGGAGGAGGTAGTCTGAAGTAAAAACCCCTGAAATGTACATCTGTAGCACGGATGTCAGGGCCTCAGCCTCAGCCGTTTTGCCTTACAAACCCACACCCATGTAGCACTTCTTGATACAGACATGGTGGCTACAAGCATTTTGGGGACTTGGGAGCTCCCTGATCTGGCTACAGCTATGTCCTTGCCCTAAGAGACACTGGTTGCATTTTTGGACTTGTTTCCACATAAAGGAAACCTGGGTGAACAAGCTGCCTGGGACACCCCAGACATTTCATCAGGTCCCCTGCTCACCAGGACCCTGCTGGTCCCCCACCTCTGAAGGTCTCCCACTGGTCAGTTTAGATATAGCTTTATGAGTCCAGCTGTCTTCTTTACCTGTATTTATTTATAGAATAACAGGGGACAAGAATAACAACCCTCTTTAAAGCATTTGGAGGTCTACTAGTGCTCTGTGAAGAATGGGGGTTATTTCTTCTACCAAAGTCCATATCGATATAGAGCAGTATATGTAAAACACATGCTAGATGAGTAGTCTTAATTACTACTATGCTTTTATATGAAAATAGAAGTGATGACAAAATTGAATGCATCTCTACTTGCTATCTATAATTTTAGAAATTTCTCCAACACAGTTTCTGTTTTGTAATTCCTGGGTTTGTAAAAATGTTTTAATTGCAATGTCAGGGTACAAAGACAGTGGTTTTAATGGTATGGTGTTGCAAAAGGACTCATTGGCAGACCCCAATTCTAACCACAGCTGCAATCCATCCTATTCAGTCACTCAAGAAAAATTCTGAATAAACTGCCCAAAAGGGAAATGAGTTTCCTTTGACTCTGCCATGCATGTGCAGAAGTGACATCAACGAACAACCGCTGAGCGCTTCTTGCTTTCATTATCCCAGAATAAAAGTTTGGGTGTTGCTGGCAGAAATTCCTCAGATTGTATCATGTATGGGACTGGCGCACATTCGAAGAGAGGCTGATCACCCTGGTGACTGCAATATAAAAAGCCTGGGCCAGATGATACATCAAAATGGACACCTTGAAATCTATGAAGAAATTAACTATTCCATTGCAACACCTTTCTATCTTTCCTCTACTACAGGATTCAGAGCCCTAGTGCAGACACTGTACTTGACTTACAGATTTGGGATTATGCTTTAAGTGATAGATAATTTATTAATGTGTATATTGATAACATTAACTATTCCTCCATGATTGACACAGGTGGTTGTGCCAGCAAATATCAGAGTAATACAAATTAGAATGCAAAAACCCCTAAATTTCACCTCCAAGTACAAATATAGCAGCTTTCGAGCTAGACATGTTGTGCATTTGAAAACGCTGCATTTAAGAAGTAAACTATTTTGTGAGACTCAGCATAAGAAGTGTTGTTTTTCCAGGCCTTTCTTCAGTTCCTGAAGAAGGTGGTTGCTAACGAAGGGAAAAATAAAATGAATCTGTGGAACGTTTCTATGATTGTTGCACCAAACCTCTTCATCTACAAAGGGAAACGTGCAAACCAACAAGAAATGCAGGCAGCCGCCACCACAGCGCACATTGTGCGCCTTTTAATTCGGTACCAGGACATCCTGTGGACAGTGAGTAATGCTGGTTCCCTCTTTATGGCTCCAGTACAGAGAAGTATTTTGTTATATGCAGCAGCTCTGTAGAAATCAGAGTAAACTGACCTTCCTAGAAGACAGTATCAGAGTAAACTGACCTTCCTAGAAGACACAGTTAGCTATTCTTTGGAAACTGGCTGGAGTCTTCTATATCTAGAATGAGATAGGGTGACAGACACCTCTGGATGGAGATTTTCCTCACCTATCTAAGACATCCATTTTAGCACGAATTGCCCTCTGGAGGTACCTATCCCACACCATTGTTTATGCAGAAGAATGCATAGGAGAATGATTTCATCTAGATGCGTAGGTGAGATATCTAAACTTGAATGAGATTAAATGACTGTTTAAAGTCTAGCCCATAATAATATGGGCCCAAAGTGTGTACTACTTGCTGGACTTCCGAAGGTTGGCATGAAGATGACGACAGTCTCAGCTCGTTTCCTCATAACAGAGGGAGGGTATGATGGGGGTTGCAAAGACCAGCTCCTAATAAAGTTCCTACAGCTGCAAACATCACTGAAAAGTGTCATATGTTACGAAAGATGATCTACAGTTTCACCAAAGGAGTAACTGTGGGTTGCTAGAGGGTGCTACTAATTGCATGTATCTTCTGGGAATAAACAGAGCTTCTGCTGCCTAAAATTTTGTGCCTTTCTAGCCCCAACACTAATTTTAGGGGGGGAAAATTACTGTGTTTTCTCAGCTCTGGTTTCCTCTCTTTAGGTCCCATCCTTCCTGATTTCCCAAGTGAGAAAAATGAATGAGGCAGCAATGAACAACAGCAAGAGGCAGCTGATGTTTGATAAAGGAGTGAGAAAACTTCTGAGGAGAAAGACGATGGAACGGGAGAGACCTGAAAGACCAGAGGTATGATAAAAATGTATCATTTTCAAGGGCAGCTTTAACCAGCCTCCCTCCTTACTTATCTCATAAAAGCTTCTGGGGACGGGGAGGAAATTTTACCACACAAAATAAGCTGATTTGGGAGCTATCTTGAAAGATGTGCTTCCCAGTCCAACATCCTGATAAGACAAAGCTTTGGGGATTGATTGAGAAAAGATGAAGAAGGCAGAATGATTTCTAGCAGCCCAAGTTATAAGCTGTTACAAACACATGCTGATTTTGTACCCGTTTCATAAGAAAATGGTCATATGCGGACTGTCCTTGACAGCAATGATCCGTAGATATTCAACAAATGCGTGGATCTGTAGTTGAGTAGTAGGATGGTCCATATTAGGATTAATTGCACTTACCCACGCCCTGGTCCAGGCCATTCAATATTCTCCTTGCAAGCTTTAGTTTTACAGTTTTGCCCTAACTTCCTAAGCAGAGAGAAAATCCAGTTTGCCTAACATACACACCAAAACTGGGTCTAAATTTTAAATGCCTAATGAAGTAGTTTGTGCTGTTATTCCCCATATAGTCAGAGGAGAGAGGTGGATACTTTTGAGGATTTCCAGAGCTCCAGGTGCAGTTCAGACTTACGAAAGTCTGATACAAAAATCTTCCTCTGGAGGTCTTAAAGCCACCAACTTTTCTCCACTGCCTGGATATGGAGTTTAGGAACTTACTTGAGGTATGCTACTTCAACAGACACCTAGAATTAACTTACGTATTAGGTGTAACATATAATTTGGGCAACAAAGCATGTTGTGTACACATGCACAACATATACAGTCCCTATGGCATCTTATATGTAGTATTTCCATATAGTAACTACCTTTAATAACCTGGAGAGAAAGTCTTTAGAGTCTTCCATGGAGGTTTACAAGAATGGACATCGGTGAATTGTAAGAGGAGTAATCAAGGAACTGGTCAAGGACTTGTTAGTACTAATAACTTCAAGTTATCGAAGAATAGCCTTGAAGAACAAAAGAAAAGACAAATTAGGAAGGAGTGATATCAAGAGATTGTAAGAAATAGAGAATAAGCCACCTATTACAGACAACAGAGAAAATGCAGAAGGGAACGTTTGGGAAAAAAAAACAGAAAGAAAAAGGATATGTATGAACCATGAATCCATGTTAATTCAGGTTTTTGGAGAATTCATTTGCCAGCATTGACTGAAATATACTGTGGGTAGGACACACATTTGTGCTGCAGATGGAGACATAGGTGTTTGTTTAAAATGGCGGTGTAGACTACTGTGTTGTAAAACTGTATCACCCTGGAACAAATACAGTGAGAGCTTCTACGGAGAGTCAATTGCTGCAGTCATTGCACCTTCGGGAAGGCAAGTTCATTGATCGTAGTCATTGGCTTTGCATCTAATAAAAACGAGACTAGCCATGGCAGGTAGCTGAAATATGAAGGGTAAATTGGAGGCAAACTCTGTTTGGTTAACTGAGTTGAATTTTGAGAGCACTTAACACAATCCCCGGATCTCAGATGTTCTAAATTACACAGGGACAGAGACTGGAGAGACTATTGTACTCTGCTCAGCATGGTATTAACTGGATTAGAACTGGAATGCAAACCTTGCTAATTGATTTATCCGCCATTAATCATGGAAGAGTGCATAAACTTCATAGATGATCGTTTGAACCCTACACGAGGTCAAATTTCAAATTAACAGAAACCATATGCTACTGTGATATTTTACTGTACATCATAAGCTTCGATCTAGTTGAAGTGACAGGAAGTGGAAACAGAGAACTAGATCTTAATGCCTCAGGAGGATTTCATCTTTAAAAGGAAGACCAGATATTCCTAGTCATTTTTATGTGCTTTTAAATAAGCAGTTGGTTCGCTAACCAGTGTTAACAGAAATAACTTAAAAAATCACAGATAACAACTTGACTCAATATTACTGCCAGCAATTAAAATTCAAGGGCTGTACTTTATTCTGCATGCATTTATGTGATGCTTACCAAGGAGTTTGTGTCTGTATGTCATATCTTACTGTACTGTATCTATAAATTTGTGTTTGTATCACTGTAAATATGTTTTTTGAATAATTAAGTGAATCCAGGACAGTGACTTTTGCAAGCAACCTCAAAAGAGTTGCAGAACTGCTTCTGAATGGAGCTACAGCAATATTTCCTTAGACTGACTCTACTGAATATTGATTTTAGGGAGCTGTCACTTTTCCCCCATACCTGCAGTCTGACATACCCGAGGGGGTGGTAAGAGTTTATGCTCCACTGCATTCAAAAGTCTCTATGGCAATTCAACTCAACAGCCAAACAAAAGCCAAAGACATCCTGGCTCGATTCCACTGTGAAAACAGGTGGGTAAATCAGAACATTTTGTTTTTCCTGAGCAATAATGTCAGAAGCATTAATGACTAGGTTGTCCCCTTTTCAAAGACTCATTGTGTTACAAGAACTCTTTTTCTAATCTAAAATTGCTAATTTATGGTTACGTTGGTTAAAGAAATTTTAACCACTGATTTTATTCTTTATATTTTACTTAATAATTGGCTCCTATACAGAATCAATCTGCCCTCTGTTATGCCACTACTAAACACATATGTTTTATAGACTTGTTGCATAAAGAACCCAGAACATCTGCCCATAAAACGTTAATGTTTTTATTTCTGTAAGGTCATAATTATTAACAGTTATGGGAAATGGTAAATTGCATCTGCAAGTCTTTTCTGCAAAGTATTCCCATATTACCACATAATTCTCTTAAAATAAATAATAAAAAATAAATAATATAATAGAAAGCTTAGTTAACTGTGACCCAGTAATCTACCTCTGTAGCAGATTCACTATTCTGCAGTGCTCCGTTTGGTGGAAGTCCTTGCTTTTGATAAGTAAGTTCACAGGGGCAAAAATACCAATTTTTAGCTTAATATAGACGGTGGTTGATAAGGCAGTGGTTATAACAGAAAGACAAACTGAAGGTTTTTTTCTATCCTAGCCGCGGTTCATCACAGAACATGAGAGGCCAGATCCAAAGTTTACATGAAATTGGAGGAAATATAGGTAGGTCTCATTTTTGAAAATTCGGTTCTGAATGTCCTTGGCCTCCTAAAACACCTCAGGGCAGTGCTGTTTTCACACAGCTGGGTCTCTCCTACCTTCCAGTCCATCTGCAGAAAAGGAGTCTGACCCAACAGCTGTTGAAATCAATGTAACAATTCCTTCTGACTCCAGCACGACTGAAGGGCCACCGCGCAGGAGATAGTGACCTGATGGCTGGATCTCAGCAGGACTCCTGACAGTCTTGCCAAATTCATCTGACCTTCCGCTTACCTCTCTCACTCTCATAGTTGAGCTTTTTTCCATGGTTAAGAGATCCTTAGTCTTCCTCTCGTGAGCATGTTCCACCTCGCTGTCAAGCCTTTTCCCAAGACCTATTTCTTCCTCACTGTATGTAAGTGTTAACCTCCTCAAAATAAAAAACACAGAATTGAGAATTCAGGCCCTGCATGTATGGGTCTACTATACTCATACTAATCCATGTGCTTTATTTAGATTGTAAATTCCTTGCAGTAGGGATTTTGTCTTCCGTGTTTCATGCAGTGACATTTTTGTAATGACAACAGTGGCTTGCCACACAAGTTCCTGGCCTAAAGGTCAAAAACCAGCTTTCAATTTGATATCACACAGTCCTCTCCTTTCTCTATTCGTACTAAAAATCTGGATGCTCTGTTGGAGTCTTTCGTCAACGGTCTGATCAGATTATTCCTTAATTCTTCTAGATTCCGCTCAAACAGCTTCTATAAAGTTATTACAACACATCTCAGACTTGCTTCAGCAGCAGGCAAGAAGCAAAGTGTTTACTACTGAAGATACTCTCATACAAAGCTAAATTTGATTAGCGATTTGTTTTGCCTGGCTAAACAGGATGACCAACCGATGCTAAAACAGGAGAAGATCCTAAAGGCCTTGTGAAACAATTCCAAGTATTCCCACCACACTCTTTCAAAAATCTGGACATTTAATTTGCATCTTCATTTAAAATTATTTTTATAGTCCTAGATCTTTCAGGGTACCTTAGTCCACTGATTATGCATTCATTCATTTATGTTGCTTTCACTTGAATAAAATCATTAGGACCCCAGTGACCTTGTAAGTAACTGTACAAAATTTTTACATAATCCTTTGTGTCACAGCAATGTGACCTCACCAGTTAAATGGCTTCATCACCCAGTGTAAATCCAATATAGTCTAACCAATCAACTTAACTCAAAAATTTATTGCCTTACTACTCAATTAGGAGGCACCAAACGCCTCTTTCTGTGGCAAAGGCAGCAGGGACTCCCCAACCACCCAACTCCCAGTCACCACCTAACGAAACCCTCGAACGGCCAGACTTCAGAGGACTTTTTTTTTTTTTTTTTTTAAACCAGCAAAACAGCAACTGCTAAAAGCCTTGATATAGTCCCTGTATTTCTTTGCAAGATCCTAGCTGGATGGGAACACGTGGTTTGCAGAGCTACTTCTTCAGCATTTAAAAATAGCGTAGAAATGAAGTCACAGAGTTGTAATTCCAGCCCAGTAAATCCAAAGAAATAAGACCCCCAGACTATGGCACTTACAGTAACGGTGTTGTTAATGCTTCTAAAGAAACCATAATATTTGTTCACCGTTTGACTAATGGTCAATGCCTTGTCCGTAAGTCAGTGTAATGCAGGGCATCCTGCCTGAAAGCGAAAGTGAATTCATGACTCTCACTGAGTAAAACCACTGGCAAATTTACCAAAGCCCCTGTCTGTATCCAGGCAAGATGTCAGCTGGACACGCCAAACTAGGCTCACTATGTGCAAGTCGGAGAGACATTCAAGGATATTTTAACACAGCTCTGTCCCATTTACTAATGTGCTCGAAACATCCTACGATCCATGGCTGTCGATTTGTTTCAGGTCAGCACTGTTTGGATCCGGATGCGTACATGTTAGATGTTTACCGTGCAAATCCTCAGGCAGAATGGGTGATAAAACCAAAAGCAAGCTGAAGCAGAAGGCTGCGGCGTACTGGACAAAAGCCAAATGGACAACAGTGATGCCTGTCATTTTAAGAAGCTCTTGGCAGAGACGAAACAAAATGGTAGCTACGGGATATCATTCCTTCCTACTGTACTGTCCAACTGATGTTCGCTATGTACTACTTTTGGTATAAGCATTATCACTCCAGCTTCTGGACCATCTGAAAATATCACATCAGTTATGCTTTCATATGGATTACGCTTGTGCCGGTTGGCCCAGGAGTTAAGGAGGAACGGGCCAAGGTACGGAGGCACAGAAAACAACCTGTCGCATACGGAGCTGTTCATTTCCTGATCTGGTGTTAGAACATGAATTTTTGGAAAGGAAAGAATCCAGTGGCATCCATGGATGTATGAAACACTACCGACCACAGCGTAACACAGAAGCATCACAGAGACATTCAAGAAGAGAAGGTATCTGTCAAGCGTGGAAGAGAGGAGCTCGACCTGCAGTGGTGCGAAGACGTAGCTGTGTGACAAAATCAAACCTTTCTGCTGAAAGTAAACCTGTACAGTGTGCATTACTGCCGTATTTATGTCTCTCAGTCACTCCTCATGAGTACCTGATGCTGGGGGAGGGAGGGAGGCAGAACTACTGTATAGACAGTTATACTGCTTTATGTATGTACCACTGTATATATTGCCACCAGTCTTCCAAAATCGTCTGTCTGGATCACATTACTGTGCTCAATTGTAGCACCACAAACCATTTTCTCCTTCCTTCCCCTGTCACACACACAAGCTTCGGGAGACAAATGCTAGGTGAGAGGGGGCGTATTCCCCTGGCTCCATCTTTTACTTGATACTCTCAGATTTAAGTCTGTGTAATGCCGTAATATGAGATATGTGTTAACGGTGCCACTTACAGCCATCACCTTTTTTGTTAAACATTATAGTTTCTTAATTTGTAACCTAATTCTTTTTCTTTTGTTTATTTTAGCTTTAATATGTAAGCAACTTTTATACTATTCAGCTGCATCGAGAAGAGAGATCTTTGTCCGGATCTTGTAGAATACAGCATGGAAAAGACAAAGAGCTTCCAATGAGCAGAGGGATTTAATACTCTTATTTAACATTTACACATTAGGGCCTTAAAACCGTAGCCAAACTAGGCCCAGTTGTGCTGGGGGTTTTACAAATACATAGCAAATTGCAGCTCCTTTTACAGGTGGCGTGCAGTCTATGAAAACACACAGGCTGACAAGAGAACAGCGGGCTGCAACTGCATTGGGAATGCAGCACAGCAAATGTTAGGCAGTATGTCTAGTTTGTAGCCAGTCACGAGGGCGAGCACCATTCTTCACCTAATCCTCTGGTTTGGGACTATACTTTATAGAACTAAAGCATGTTTGTTCAGTAGGGAAAACACAAGTCTTTGGAAAACCGCAAGTATTTTTTTCATCTTTGTCTTACACAAAAAATGGGAACTAATGCCTTCAACTGTACTGCAATGTCTCCGTCACTGGATGACGATATTGCACAACGAATTCACCCACAGTCTGAGCGGTGGGTTTTGTTCCTGATCTGGACACACAGATGAGGCAGAAGCTGGTGCTCTGTTTACCAGGTAGCAATGTAACAGCGTTCTGAACCAAGTCGTCCAGGCGAAGATAAAGTATGCTGTCCTGCAGAGAAACCTGTAACTTGTGATGCTCTGCTGAAGCTTTGCGATGAAGATTTTCACATTCTAGAAACCCTACTTCTGGTTCAAAGTTAGTAGTGTTCTCCAGTAGTTAACTTTCATCGTTAGCATTCAGTAAAAGAAATCAACATTGAATCAGTAATTTTACCAGCAACAATAATGTCTACAGGGGGCAGATCCCGTCTGTCTTTCTTACCTTCTTGAGATAAAAAATGGTAAAATTTAACAACATTATTCTTTCATCTTCTTTAAAACAGCAAAATTTTTAACTTTCCTTTTTTTTTTTTTTCCTCAACACTAATGAATGCACAGTTGCAGCCAGGTTAAGACCAGGACAGTTGTATTATAAAATACACTGCTTATTTTGACAACTATTTATTTTAAGTATATGAGAGACAGTAGATCTGTGGTTTGTTCATAGGACTAAGCATAAACATTTTGTCAGGTGCTTTGTTCCCGATTCCCTTTAGTTCCCTCTGTGGCGATGGACAACTCTTTCTACTGTGCTGCCCTTTTCTTTTAGGTGTAAAACAGGACTAGTACTTTCCTTATAAAGGTAACATGAGAATTAGTTGAGTTAAATTCTGCTCTCAGATGCAGCTAAACAATTCCCTGAGCAGAACAGGAGTTATAAACATCCACCTAGGAAGGACAAACTCAGCAAAGGGATTTTATGTGCAAAGTGCTTTGAACGTGAAGAGCATCATATAAATGCTAAGCATCATTGTATTTATAGCCAACAAAAGAGCTTTTATGACTATACAGAAAGCCTAAACATTAAGAGTTTGACATGTCGTAGCAAATGAGATAACTTTCTACAGTACTTTCAGACAAAAACATTGACCTCCTCCGTCTTGCCCACTCACTTGACCCTGTGTTCTCAATGGCCGTGCAAGGGAAAGTACAGAGCACCCATGTGCTCACGCTGTAACTTGCTCAGCACGTTCTGGACCCTGAAGTGAGGACTTCACCAAAATTATTTCTGAAATAGGTCTCACTGTATTCCGTACAGGATAGAAGGGGTTTTTGGAAGACTTTTTTTTGCCACTTTGCAACTTAGGAAAGCCAAATCTGATGTCATGAAATCCATCCTGTGAACGCTTGTTTTATACTAAAATTGCCTATAACTTCATAAGACATGCGTATTAGCAGATGAACTAGGTTCTACGTACGGTGCCCTGACTACTACAGCATGGCCAAATACCTGCTGTCTCTGAAACAGAATGGCAAAACTCTTTTTTGATACAAATGGATCTAATGACCCATGTGTACTGTGGTTAATACTGTTACACATTAAGTTGTTTTGTGGTGTTGTGGTACACTAACTTGATTAAATATGCAGTAGACAAACTGAACAACCTCTACGACATTTTTTAATATGAGGTCTCAACTTTAGGCCTTGTATTTCAAAATGCTGGTGGAGGCACCTGGAATTTTGTTCCTCCTAACAGCAGTTGAAGTCAAAACCAAGTTATGATAGGATTGTCACCTAACAAAAAGCAACGTATGTGGAAAGCTATTAATAAGAAAGCAGTAGCAAGCAGGGAAAAACTTATTCAGCAAACTCCAAAGATGCCTCAAGCATTTATGTACTCCATGGTTCTACAAAGACAGCATTTTGCATCAACACAGAGAGAGAGTGTATTCCAAGAAGTAGGTATTGGAAACAGACTGGAATGCTCTAACCTGTTTATGCAGCTAATGTCATTAGAATGTGTACGTGTGTGCAAATGTGTCTGTGTCTATGTATAATATTAACTACCTCACTCTGCATTTTCCAGGAAAAATAATTTGGCTTAGAGGTTTAATATTCCAAAACTTTCTATTATTAATTTCACCTCTCCACTAGTCTTTTACATTGATAAGGTGTTTCTCCTTCTAAGGGGCAAGATTTGGAAATTACCAAAAAATATATATTAAAAGACATATTTCAGGATACGTACGAAATTTTATCCAAACCATGTTGCCTCAGTTACTGCTTGTAACGTGAACCTTATGAGATCAGATCTTGGGGTTAATGGATAACAAATACAAACATACTGCGTTTCAGTTTTTACTTTTCAATGGCTTTCCATTAATGTGTGTCTTCTCTGGAAAATAATACAATGCCACTAATCAAAGCAAAATGTTTGTATGTTCGTTTCCCTTACAATCCTCATTATGTTATGTGTTTTGTTGAAGTAAGCCCACACGTAAGTGTATGTGTACAGCAGAATGTCTCCATTGTATTGTATCCATGTCAAAAATAAAAACAATACCAACAAAGAAAGCTCTTCAAACCTAAGCACGTGGTTTTCGGTTAGAAACAGGTGACAGAAATTGCAAAAAGCAGTGATGAATCTGTCTTAAAAGCAACTCTGTTGTTATAGCACCTGAACAGCTAGCTACACAAAGGACCACATTCTGCCACCCTTGCTCAAGTGGAGCAGTTCTTTGCTCCAGGAGCTCTTCTCTCGGACTACCTCGATGCAAGGTACAAAATGACACTGCTTGGAATCTTGCCTCATTGAAATCAATGACAAACTGCTCTGGGGTTTCATTTGAGCCAGTATTTTTTAAACTAGTATGAAATACCTAGAGCAAAACTGACTTGAGAACAAATTGTAAAAATGCACAGTAAAAGCCAAACAAAATTGTAAGGAGCAAACAAAAATACTGCTAGTTCAAAGAGAAAAAAGGAGATGGAAGTGACTTGTAAAGAATTTTGTTTATTATAGACGCATCTTCAAGTACGAGACATGGTTGTCACTGCTCAGTGATCCAGCCAGTTGATGAATGGGTGTCCTTACTTGAGTCAGATCAAGTACGTGTCCCGCAAACCTGGCTCAAGTGCAACTACTGGAAGCACGTTTCATTCTAGAAACAGAGGCAGGCACAGTAGGAAAAGGTAAAGACAGAACTGCTGACTGGCCTGTGAATTAGGAATCGCAGAGCACCAAAGGTGCTTCCCTGTGTCCTGTAAGAAACACTGTTTTCCCAAGAAAGATGCATTAGTTCTTGTTGCCAAAATACATAGTAGTTCCCAAGCCAGACCCAAATTGTTTCTTCACCAACACAACATTTCGTATGCGTCTCTCTGCTGTGGAGTTGCTGCTTGTCCTGCAGCTGATTACATGAAAGCATAAACAGGAACATAATCCTCCTAGACAATGTGGCTATAACGGGGGTCAGAAGCACTGGATATTAAGGCAGAAGGAAAAGGGATTGGAGCTACCATATTAAGTATAAATAAGAAAACTCTATTCATTAGACTCTGAATCTGGGACCTTCAAAATTATGCCTTTAGTCTCCTGCTCCCTCTGCTGGACTCTACCCACTCGTACTTTTCACTTCCTAGCCTTCTGGCTCTTTTTCTTCTAACTGAAATGTATGGACAACTGAACTACATGAAATAATGCACAGTTTATTGTAGTTTTATTATGTGGTCCAAAAGTATTACCTTTTTATAAAACAACCAACACACAATAAAATGAAATACTGTCAAGTAATCAAAAGAAAACATACTGTAAACACTGATTAATAAAAATTCCCAAAAGAAAAATACCCAATTAATGCCATTAACATTGTAGTAGAGGTGTTTGCTGTTTAAAACCGTTTAGTTAAAATGCAGACATAGAGCTTCTGACTAAAAAAAAAATAAATGACCTGAGTTGGAAAACAACCAGAAAATCAGAGATGCAGGCTCTCACCAATTCTTCTTTTCATTACGTAATGAGAATGAACAATAGCAGATCAACAAAAAAACCCTCTCTCGGTCCAGACAGGCTTTGCTGCAGTTCAGTGCTCAGCCCCAGGGCAGGAATGAGGAAAGACTCCACGCAGGTCAAAAGCTCTGCTGAAGTCAAACCATTCTGCCTGTTGGCCCTTGGTCAACACGAGGTTCCTCAAACAGCCATGGAATGAGCTCTTGCTTGTGAGGCAGTTTTGTTTCACATCAGCTGAAAAACAAATGTGAAATATGTAGAATCTATTTCCCGTTAATTGAAACAATAAAAAGATCCAGGTTATTATTCAGCTGCTTCCTCCTTCCACCCAAAAGAGAAAGAAAACCAACACCTGAGGAGCACCAAGTTCCATTCATGTTTGGATTATGTGGGACATCCCACCACGGACAGTCACTGCTGCCTTCAAGCGTAAGCCATGCACTGGGGTAACTTGTGCAGAGTTTGCAGAAATAATCTGTCCCAGGGGACAAGAGAGAGGAAAAGAGAGGAGAAAGCCACTCTACATAGGTGTCTTCCAAGTTAAAATTGAAACTGGCAGAATATGAAGCAACAGCTGAGCTGTACACAGTCATGGTCTCCACTGCCAAACCAAAACATGAGGCTGGTAGAGAGTCCAACTCTCTTTTTCCATACAACCTGTGAAACAATTCATTCCACTTCTGCAGTACTCAACTAAACCGAAGAATTTCTCTCTTCTCTATGAACCCTAATCTTTACAGATGGGAGCACTGAACAACTAGTATCACATTATCCTA